GCTGACGAAACTTTCTCTTTCTTCTTTCCTCTCAGAGCGCCAATTACTCTTAGGGCTTGTACACTCGAACACCCTAAACCCTAAACCCTAAACCCTAAACCCTAAACATTAAACCCTAAACACTAAACCCTAAACCCTAAACCCTCGTTATAGTTACTTTGCCTGCTGGCTTCAACTGCACACAGACAACGCAGAGCAACAGATGAACCACACAAAAGCAACTAAACCCTAAACCCTAGACTCTAAACCCTAAACCCTAAACCCTAAACCCTAAACCCTCCTAAACCCTACAGTTTAGGTATTCAACTGCAGGGGATTTGTTTCTTTTTTTTGTTTGCTGCTAAAAGAGAAGAAAAACGACAAAAAAAAGAAAAAGAAATAAAATAAAAAACAAAAGAACTTTTCTCCTTTCCTGCATGGATAACAACATTAATTATTTATTTTATTTTTATTTATTTTTATTTATTTATTTTATTTTTATTTATTTTCTTTTTTCTTTTTTATTTTATATAAATAAATATTTGTTTGTCTCCTCACCAAGAAATCCTAAGAAACTCTCACCTTGCACTAAATATAAGTTTTTGTTTATTTATAATAATAATAACTTATTATATTTTTTTATATTTTTTTATATTTTTTTATATATTTTTATATTTTTTCTATAAATAAAGAGCAACTGAGCAATATATATTAATATATTAACTTATTATAATTTGTTGTTTACATATTTATATATATTGATAGGTTGTTGTTTATATATAATAATAAATTTTTGTTTATATATAGAAACAATAGCTGGTTGTTTATGTATAATATAATATAATAAACATTATTTTTATATAATATATATTTTTATAGAATATATATTTTTATATAATATAATTTAATAAGCTACTTCTATCGACTTAGTTTTTTTTTTAATTGTATTAAGTTGTTGTATATAAATATATATGAGCAAAAGAAGTTGTTTATATATAATAATTTTTTGTTTATATATAATAAATTTCTGTTTATATATAATAATATATTGCTATACATATATATATATATATATATATATATATATATATATAATATAACAATAAGTTTCTGTCTAAATATAAAATAAATGTTTATTTATAAATATTAATAAATTATTGTTTTAATATAATAATAATAAACTCTCAGCAGCAACAAGCTGCAGTTGCTGCTTATAGAGAAATAAATTAATAAAACTAAAACGATAAAGAAATATAAAGAATGCAATTGATATTTAAAATATTTTATTGTTTAAACAATAAATTATTTTTATATTTTTATTAACATAAATTTATTTTATTTTATTTCTTTTTTTTTTTTTTTTTTTTTTTTTTTTTTTTTA